CCTTTTTCGTTGTCCCTCTACTTTGCCAAGCATGATATCCTCTTCCAAGGAATGGTCCCTTCTTACAACATGACCAAAGTAGGTGGGACAAAGTCTGGTCATTCTTGCTTCCAAGGAGCATTCTGGCTACACTTCTTCCAGAACAGATTTGTTAGTTCTTTTAGCAGTCCATGATACTTTCAGCGTTCTTCGCCAACACCACAACTCAAAAACATCGACTCTTTTTCAGTCTTGCTTTTTCATTGTCCGGCTCTCACATGAATATGAGATGATTGAAAATACCGTAGCTTGTGTCAAGCGCACCTCAGTCTTCAAGGAAAACATCTTTGCTCTTCAGCACTTGAAAGAGATCCTTTGCAGGAGATTTGCCTAAGCTATACAATGTCTGATATCTTGACTGCTGCTTCCATTGGTGTTGATTGTAGAACCAAATAATAAGAAGTCTTTGACAACTTCAATCTTTTTTTCATTTATCATGATGCTGCTTGTTGGTCCTGTTGTGAGGATTTTTGTTTTCTTTATATTGAGGTGTAATCCATACTGCAGACCGTGTCTTCAGTCTTCATCAGTAAGTGCTTCAAGTCATCCTTACTTTCAGCGAGAAAAGTTGTGTCACCTGCATAATGCAGATTGTTAATGATTCTTCCTCCAATCTTGATGCCTGGACAGATTGCTGGTGTATGAACAGGTTCTTCATGAGTACAATTAAGTGTTCTGGAATTTCCATTCTTCTCAATGTTATCCACAATTTGTTATGATCCACACAATCATGTGCTTTTGCATAGTCAATGAAACACAAGTAAACATCTTTCTGGTATTCTTTGCTTTGTGCCAAGATCCATCTGACATCAGCAATGATATCCCTTGTTCCACATCCTCTTCTGAATCCAGATTACATTTCTGAAAGTTCTATGTCGATATACCACTGCAACCATTTTTGGATTATCTTCAGTAAGATTTTACTTGTGTGCGATATTAATGACATTGGTTTATAATTTCCTCATTCTGTGGGATCACCTTTCTTTGGAATGGGTACAAATATGGATCTTTTCCAGTCAGCTGGCCAGGTAGTTGTCTTTCAAATCTCTTGGCATAGCCGAGTGAGTGCCTCTAGTGTGGCATGTTTGTTGAAACATCTCAATGGGTGTCCCATCAATTCCTGGAGCCTTGTTTTTTGCCACTTCCATCAGTGCAGCTTTGATTTCTTCCTTCAGTACTGTTGGTTCTTGATCATGTGCCACCTACTGAAAGAGTAGACCATTGACAATTCTTTTTGGTACAGTGACTCTGTGTATTCCTTCCATCTTCTTTTGATTCCTGCATCATTCAGTATTTTGCCCTTAGAATCTTTCAATATTGCAACTTGAGGCTTAAATTTCTTCCATAGTTCAGCTTGAGAAATGCCAAGTGTGTTCTTCCCTTTTGGCTTTACAACTCCATGTCTTTGCACATTTCATTATAGTAATTGGCTTTGTCTGCTCTAACTGCTCTTTGAAATCTTCCATTCATCTCTTTTATCTTGTCATTTTTTCCATTTCCTTTAGCTATTCTCTGCTCAAAGGCAAGTTTCAGAGTCTCTTCTGACATCCATTTTGGTCTTTTTTTCTTTTCTTGTCTTTTTAATGACCTCTTGCTTTCTTCATGGATGATGCTCTTGATGTCGTCCCACAATTCTTCTGTTTTTTGATCATTGGTGTTCAATGCATCAAGTCTATTCTTTAGATGGTCTCTAAATTCAAGAGGGATATATTCCAGGTCATGTTTTGGCTCTTGTGGACTTGTTTTAATTGTCTTCAACTTGAATTTGAACTTGTGTATGAGCAGTTGATGGTCTGTTCCACAGTCAGCTCCTGGCCTTATTTTGGCTGAAGATACTGAGCTTCTCCACTGCCTATTGCCACAGATGTAGTCAGTCTGATTCCTGTGTACTCCATCTGGCAAAGTCCATGTGTATAGTCCCCATTTGTGTCATTGAAAAAAGATATTTTCAATGAATAGGTTGTTGGTCTTGCAAAATTCTGTCTTGCAATCTCTAGCATTATTTTGATTTCCAAGGGCAAAATTTCCAACTTCCAGTGATTGTTCTTTGTTTCCAACTTTTGCATTCCAGTTACCAATGATAATCAGCACATCTTGATTTCATGTTTGGTCAATTTCAGACTGCAGAAGTTGGTAAAAATCTTTAATTTCCTAATCTTTGGCTTTGGTGGTTGGTATGTAAATTTGAATAATAGTAATATTAACTGGTCTTCCTTGTAGGCATATGGATATTATCCTAATATCACTGACAGATTGTACTTCAGGATACATCTTGAAATATCCTTTGTGATGATCAATATAGCACACCATTCTTCTTCAAATTGTCATTCCCAGTATAGTGGGTCATATGATTATCTGATTCACTATGGCCCAAACCAGTCCATTTCAGCTCACTAATGCCATTGGTTCTTGATCATCCTTATGCGTTTCATTTCGTTTTTGACAACTTCCAATTTTCATAGATTCATACTTCATACATTCCATGTTCCAATTATCAATGGATGTTTGCAGCTGTTTTTTCTCATGTTTAGTCACGCCACTTCAGCAAATGGAGGCCTTGGAAGCTCTACTTTATCCATATCATTTAGTTAAGCTCTACTCTGATGAGGCAGCTCTTTCCTAGTCATATTTTGAGTGCCTTCTGACTTGAGGGTTCATCTTCTGTCACTGTATCAGACGATGTTTCAGGGCTATTCATAACATTTTCTAGTAATATATCAGACAGTGCTTCACTACTATTCATAAGGTTTTCACTGGCCAATTCTTTGAGAAGTAGATGGCCTCTTCCTTCTTCTGAGTCTGTCTCAGTCTGGAAACTCCACTGAAACTGGTCCACCATGGGCATCCCTGCTGGCACAACCTCCAGCCTCATAGCAACATGCAAGCCACCACAGAACAACAAACTGACAGACAAGTTTGTCTCCCTTGGCTGTTTCAACCACTCTGCTCACTTCCTGGGCTACCATCTACCTGTTCCTGCCAGCCCTGTCTGCCACTGCTCCTTGCTGCCTGGGGCTCTGTCCCACCTGCCTTACCTGTTCTGGCAGCTGGCCCTGACCAATATGCTTATTGGTCATTTGTATATCCTCTTTGGTGAAATGTCTATTTTGACTCTTTGCCCATTTTTCAGTTGGGTTGTTTGTCTTTTTCTTGTTAAGTTGTAGGAGTTATTTATATATTCTGGATATTGAATCTTTATCTGATATATGATGCCCTCAAATCTTCTCCCTTTCTCTAGGTTGTCTCTCTACTTTGTTGATACAGTCCTTTGATGTATAGAAGTTTTTAATTTGGATGATATTCAATTTATCTGTTTTGCTTTTTGTTGCTTTTGCTTTTGATATTAGATCTAAGAATCCATTGTTGAAGACTATGTCCTATGCTTTCTTGTATGAGTTTTATGGTTTTAGGCCCTACATTTATGTCTTTTGTTTTAGGATGGCATTGGTATTTTTAAAAGGGTTCCCACTGGTGATTCTAAAGTGTGTCCAGTAAGTGATGACTAAAAAAAATAAAAAAATTACCAAAGGACCTAAATTCTATCTTTTAAAATTATTTAATTCAATATTAATACTTAGTGAGTTTAACATAGAGGTGTTTTTGTTTTTGTCTTTTTTTGTTGTAGAAAATGTATAAAACCAGTCAATAATTTGAATTTCTCTCAAACTTTAGCCATATTCCTAGGAGAAACCAGCCTTTGGAGGTTTAATCTTAAACTCAATATTAAGGAAGTGATGGCAAATATGACTGTTGAATTGCTGAGGAATGGTAACAATAGAGAGTTTTAAACTAGGCCTTGAAAAGTTGTTTAAATTTAAATAGGCAGAAGGGGTAGAGAAGATGGAGGATAGGCATAGATGGAGGAACAACAGAGGCACACTTGAGGAGATGGCATAAGAGAAGGCCAGATAAGAAGAGTGCTGCAGAGTCTGAGATAGGGGCCCAATGGCAACTCAAGGGGCAACCAAAGCCAGCAGTCTCTTTAAGGGACATGGGAGCAGTTCAAGGAGACTGCTTATCTACACCCCTGTAGTAGTTAAAAATGAGCACTCCCAGGCTTCCTTGATCTCTTGCCTAATGATTGTGTGGTAGGTCTGAGTATAGATAATATTTATTGAACACTTACTACATGCGAGGCACTGTTTGTAAGCATTTTATATATATACTAACCAATGTAATCTTTATAACTCTATGAGATGTGTTCTGTTATTGTCCATGTTTTACAGGTGAGGAAATTAAAGCACAGAAGGCTGACATTTTTTTTGATCCCTATACATTCAATGATGGGTTTTCCCTTTATGGCCTTGACTCAAAGTTTCCATGAAATATTCAATGCACAATGACTTATATGGTTAGGACAGAATGTTACTATGTACAGATAGAGTACAGGTGGGTAGTTGGAAATAAGGCCAGATAAGGAGCAGATAGCTAAGGATTTTGATTTTTTTTCCCCCCTGTAGGTATGAAGAATTTATTGAGGTTTTTGAGCAATGGAATAGTATGATGGGATTTCTTATTAAAGCTAGACTGGAAAGACAGGATAGGCTGAAGGTACACATGGGTAGGAGGTATAGGAGGTAAATGTGACCATGTAGGAAGCTATTGTCAATAATCTAAGGATGAAGTGATAAGTAGCTAAGTTAGACTGGTGATGGTGATAACAGAGAGAGGATAGATACAAGAGCCATTATATAGGTCCTGAAGATTAGAGAGTGCAGCTGAGTGAATGAGTGACCCACAGGGAGATCAAGGTGGAAATCTTGATAAGGAGAGGTGATGAATTAAGCTTTAGCTTCTTTGAAGTTTTTGGGGTATTCATTCCTGCCTGGGGTGTGCAATTATATTTGGTATGTTGGCTTCAATTTTGGAGAGCAATATTGATCTTTATATTTTAATCTCACATTAATCTATTACCTGGTAAAAATATAATATTAACTTATTGTTATTATTATTTACTATAGGTTATCAGACCAGGATGAAGAGGGCAAGATCAAGCAGGAGTGTATCATATCTGACCCCTCCTTTTCCATGGTGACAGTTCAACGGGAAGATAGTGGAATAACTTGGGAGACAAATTCCAGTAGGTCTTCTACTCCCTGGGCCTCAGAAGAAAGTCAGACTTCTGGTGTGTGTAGTCTGGAAGGGTCAGCTGTGAATTCTCCTCCAGGGAATGTTTCATTTATTGTGGATGAAGTTAAAAAGTCTCGTAAAAGAACACATAAGTCAAAACATGGCTCGCCTTCATTGCGTCGGAAAGGTAACAAAAAGAGACATTCTTTAGAATCCCAAGGAGATGTTCCAGCAAACAAAAAAGACAGTCCTTTAATTTCAGAAAAGCAAGAACTCAAAACTGAGAAAGAGAAATCATCTATTGGCATTTATGATACAATGAGAAAAAAGAAAACTGCCTCAAATACACCTCCTATTACTGGGGCAATATACAAAGAACACAAGCCATTAGTATTAAGACCAGTCTACATAGGAACAGTTCAATATAAAATTAAGATGTTTAATTCAGTTAAAGAAGAATTAATTCCTCTACAGTTTTATGGAACATTGCCAAAGGGTTATGTAATTAAAGAAATACATTATAGGAAAGGGAAAGAAGCATCCATTAGTCTAGAGCCAGATTTAGGCAATCGTGATTTTAATATAGTTTCTAAAACAGGCAAATTAGCAACCCAAAGCATGAAAGAAGAGAAAGAAAAAGAGCTTGTTCCACCCTGGAGAGGTGCACTCTCCAGAGGATCAAAATCCTTAACCTCATTGTTTAGTCATGATGATCAAAAGAAAATTCATGTTGATTCATCCCTAAATGTAGCATCTGCAGCCAAGCACACAGTTTCCTCTTATTCAAGTAATGATACAATAGAACAGGAAATGCAGCCTAGCTCTCCACAGTCAGTGCCACAACAGCCAGGTGATGAAGCAAAATCCCATGAAATAGAGTCTTCCTCTCTTACACCTGATACATCTGCAACAGTGTTATTAGAAACAGAAAAGGAAGATTTTGAGCCTGGTCCACAAGTAAGTATAATTTCGGAGAATGACGCTTCAGTCTCATCATCTCTAACTGATGAGATAAAGAAAGAAGACGTGTACTCTGCTGATCATTCCTTCTCACTAGAGGCAGAGAAGGATTCTCTGGAGACAGTTTTACCAGGTCTGGCAGCATCTGTTCAGGAAGATTTTGGCACAGAGAAAGAACAGCTGGACTTGACGTCACTAAAAGTGGCAGAACCAGTTTCTGAACAATTGACCCCTCCTTATGATAATGTCAAAGAAGATAAGGAAGAAAATATATCTGAGCCATCCATTCATCCTCCTGAACCTCTAGTGTTAGAAGAACCCGAGAAAGAAGAAATAGAAACGTCCCTACCAAAGACTGCTATCCCTGAACCTGAAGATTCTAATTTTGTAGAAGAGATCATAGAACTTGACTACCCAGAAAGTCCATTAGTTTCTGAGAAATCCTTCCCACCACGTTTGGCCCCTGAAGTGGAGCAGGAAGATCAGGAGTCCATTCTACCACTAGTGGGAACATCAACACCTGGACAAGTAGTGTTCTCTGAGGAAGAAAGAGAGGAAAGTGAGTCTGTTTCTACTGACTCTGCTTTTGCATCAGAGTATTCAGTCCCACAGGATTTGAACCATGAACTAGAAAGGAAAGAAATTGATCCAGTTTCCTCATCCATTGTAAACGGTAGATCTGAACGTGCAGTTTTGTCAGAGGAAGAAAATGAGGATTTTGAGCCTTCTTCCCTAGCGGAGGCCTCTGAATCTGAATACTCTGTCACACCATTCACAACTGAGGAGACTTCTGAATGCCAGTCCCCACTATTCTCAACAGCCACATCAGAACAGATGATCCTATCAGAAGAAGAGGCCCCAGAAAGTGAGTGTTACACACCAGATTCCATATCTGCCCCCGACAATTCAATTCCATCACATGCACTGAAAGAGTCACAGAAGAAAGCCATTGACCAGGAATCCCCATTAAAATCAAAAGGTCTTTCTGAGCATATGATTCTGTCAGAAAAAAAGAAGGAAGACATTGAATCATATTTCCCAGATGTATCCTCTGAATCTGAAAACTCTCTTCCACCTTATACAAGCAGGACTCCTGAATGCCAGTCACCACCACTTTCAACTGCTCCATCAGAACATACAGTCCTATCAGAGGAAGAGGATATAAGAAGTGAGCATTTCATGCTAGATTCAACAATTCAATCCAAATATGCACTTTCACCAAATGAAACACAAGAATCTCAAAAGAAAATGATTGATGATATATCCCAATTTAAGCCAAAAAGTATTTCTGAGCACATAATTCTGTCAGAAGAGAAGAAAGATAGTGGACCATTTTCCCCAGAACTGGCTCCTGTATCTGAACAGTCTCTCCCACCACACACAAATGAAACAACTTCTGAATGCCCATCCCCGCCACTTTTAGCTACTCCATCTGAACAAATGGTTCTGTCAGAAGAGACGACAGTAGAAATGGAGTGGGACACACCTTCTTCCACCTCTGTTTCTGAATTTTCAGTATTACCACAAGCAGCACGAGAATCACAGAAGGAAGAAATTGTCCACAGATCCCCTTTAAATCTAAAAGGTACCTCCTCACCCATGAATTTACCAGAAGAAGAGCAAGAAGACATTGGACCTTTTTCTCCAGATTCAGCATTTGCATCAGAATTCTCATTTCCATCCTATTCAACTCAGGAAGCGGTGAAAAGAGAATTTGAGTGTGATTCTCCAATATATTTAACATCACCCTCTGATCATACTATTTTGTCAGATGAAGACACTGAAGAAGTGGAGCTTTTCTCTCCAGACTCAGCATCACAAGTTTCAATCCCACCATACAGAGTCCCAGAAACAAAGGAGAGTGAACTTGAGCTGGATTCACTGTTGACTGCAATGTCTGCCTCAGGATATTCCTGCTCTCCAGAAGGAGATGAGGAAGAAATCGGATCTACTGCTTCTACGCCTGTACCTGAGCATCTCAGTTTGTCACAGAAACAAAAAGATGAACCAGCCCCTGTGATGTCTGCACCTGAAGACTTGAGTCTACAATCTTTAATGAACAAAGCAGAGAAGGCAGAAATTAAGCCAGGTGCTCAAACAACTTCAAAATCTGTATCTGAATATCTTATTTTGGCACAGAAGCAGAAAGCTCAAACAACTTTGGAGCCTGAGTCTGAAGACTTGATTCCTCCATATTTAACCAATGAATCAGAGAAGGAAGAAATTAAGATTAGTTCATCAGTAGCTACAACACCTGCTTTGATACCTGCACAATCATTTTGGGTAAAGGAAGAAGCCAAACCTGCATCGCCTGCATCTCAATATTCAATATCACCAGATTCAGTCCATGAAATTAAGAAAGAACAGGAACCCAAAGAATCATTCACTCCGAAAGCTGCAAATGAACAGATGGCCTTGTCAAAAGTCAGGAAGGAAGAAACTGTGCCTGATTCACAAGCAGCTACAGCATATGTGTCACAGGATCAAAAAATGGACCCTCAGCTTCCAACTGTTCCAGGGCCTGAGATGAAATATTCAGTTGTGCCTGACTTAGTAAATGAGCCAAAAGATATCAAGCCCACTTTAGCTCCAACTGTGACATCTGAACTGGATCAGAGAATGCTGTCAAAGAATGAGCCAGAAAAAATAAAACCACAGTCACCTCTAAAGGAAACATCTTTATCTGGTGTTTCATCAGCAGTAAAAACAGAAGTTAACCATAATTCTAAGATGACAGTTGCACCTATAGTTCCACATTCATCTTCATCAGGAGTGGAAAAGGAAGTTGAACATGGTGTGCTTGCACCAGCATTTTCAGCTTTCCCAGAAGAAATAAAGGAAGGAATTGAACCCAGTTCTTCCACAACCACAACATCTGTAACTAAGCATAATTCAAATTTAATCAAATTAGCAAAAGAAGAAATCCCATCAGATTCATTGCTTACTACCCCTGTGGAACATCCAGTCTTAACAAAAGTAGAAAAGAGTGAATTAGGAATTGGCTTGCCACCACTTGTGACATCTATAGACAAACATTCAGTTCCAAAAGAAGAAGAAAAAGTAGCGGTTAAAGGTGCTTCTTCTCCCGTTGAAACTACTGTGTCAAAAAGGTGGGCAGAAGAAGAGAAGGAAACTAAATTGGATTCACCTCCAAGTGTACCCTTTATATCAGAGCACTCTACTTTATCAAAGGTAGAAACCAAAGAAATTAAACCTGGGTTGTCAATAACCAAAACATCTTCGTCAGTGCATTCAGATGTATCTACAGAGGCAAGGGCAGAAGAGGAACAAGGTCTTCCGTTTTCTGCAGTCCTTGACTCTGAACATTTGAGTTCATCACAGAAAAAGAACTCTGCATTTTCCTCAGAGGTGTCAGGACCTGCACTTTTGCTTTCACCCAAGCTGGATGGTGAGATAAAGGAAAAAGACACTGAGCTTCCTTCATTACAAAATGTGTCACCTGCACCCAAACAAACTGTTTCAAAAGGCATAAATGAGGAAATGCCATGTTCTTCTCCAAAGCTAGAAAATTTAGTGCCAGAAGATTTTGTCCCAACATCTACTACAATGCCTGAAGTATCAGAGATTTCATCTTGCCTTGGGGAGGAACCTCAGAATCAAGAAATTAAACCTTTGTCTCCTAAAGGAGTTAGCTTAGGGTCAAAAGAAGCATCTACCTATTTGGTTGAAGGAGAAAATCTAGAAAAACTTAAGCCATATGGTTTTTCTTTAAAAGAATTATCAGAGGAGTTGAACCATTCAACTGATTTTGAAAAAGAAGAAAAACAAGAATTAGGCCCATTACCACCAACAGAAAACTTGAAGTCACAAGTGACAGAAAATATTTTAACTAAACCAAGTGAAGAAACCAGCCAACCAGATTCAATGCATGTACCCCACAGTGTAACAGAGCCATCAACGATCCCCTCTTCTGACCTCCTTATGGAACAAAAGAAGCCCAGAGAAGCACTTTATTCAGATAAAGGTGTCAAACTGCCTGATGTAAGCAGCTCTTTTGCAGATAAACAAGATCTGGCTAGTAAACAGCTTCCCTCTATGAAAGAAAATTTGCCTTTGGAGGAATCAAAGTCATTAGTGACAACTGAGTTGACAGATGTTAAAGAAACAAAAATGAAAGAGCCCCTTATTTATCCAGAGGATGAAAATTGGAGCCTGGAAAAGCCAGAAAGTGATTTGGCCAGTTGTCGGGAAGAAAGAATAGTGAGATCTGTGCAGCTGGATACCTCTGGCCGCAGTGGTCTGATGACAGAGCAGCTTAAGGCTGGTCTGTCAGAGAAAGAGCATACGTATGAAATCAGAAAGGAGCTTCTGCCATATTCTGTGGAGGAATCTCATTTATCATCACAAGAACCAGAATCTGCTCTAGAAAGCTCCAGGAGTAACGCAGAGACACTATCAACTAAAGCTTACACTTCTGAAGAAACAAAGCTGACCCAAGAATCAACATCTATAGTTCCAGCTGGAAATCTAGACAGAAATGTAGCAGAAGGAAAGCAGAGTCATTCTCTTGTGGGGAGTGAAAGTTTGATACTGGAGAAAGCAAGCACAGAATTTTCCAGGCCTTACAAAGAAGATAGCCAGGAAGAAATCCTCCAGAAACCAGTTTCTGGCACATCAGTGGAACAGATCAAGTCAGAACCAATTCCCTCTTCCACAAAAGCAGCCCATGTCCTGGAAGCAGATGTAAAGTCTCCCCCAAGTAATGAAAAAGAAACACAAAGTACCGCACCTCCTTTACCTGGAGAGAAGCCATTAGAAATACCAAAAATGGTTAAATCAAAGGTTGTAGATGATGCCACGCCTGCAGTGAAAATACCCACACAAAGAAAACCCCTCTCATCAGTCCAAGCTACTGAGGAACCTCAGCCCCCAGAGTCACTTGAAGTAACACAAAAGCTGCCTGAGCAGCCAAAGGCAGTTGAGCCAGTCCTTCCTGCAGAAAAGGGAAAGAAAAGAATTTCATCTTTGAAATCGTGGATGTCCAGCTTGTTTTTTGGATCAAGCACATCAGATAACAAAGTTGCTGAAAAAGAAAAATTAGAAGTTCATCCAAGTCAATCAGCAGAAAAAGCAGTGCCTGTGGTAGAGCCTAAACAAACTATTATCAATGCCCCTGCTGAATTTAGTGCACCTGAAAAACTAGTTGATCATCCGTTACCAGAGGCAAAACTTAAAACTGCTGAAGAATCTAAAGCTGCTTTAGTTAAACCTAGTGAAGGTCAAGAAAAACCCACAGTTATATCAAATGCAGAAGATTTACAACAGCCAAATTCCAACACTGAGGCATCTAATGAAGATTACAAGAAGAAAGAAGCCTTAGATTATTCAGAAAAAATGGATATAAACTTAGAAGTTACTTCTGCTGATGGTGAGGAACATCTTGGAATTCAGTCCTATTCCCTCATGGGTGAGAAATCAATTGTGAGAAAAGCCAAACATGTGGTTCCTCTTCATGTCACTGATAGTGAGAAAGCCCAGAAGCCAGCAATCTCTCCTCCTTCTACATGGAAGATTTCTATTCTTAAGGAAGAGCCAAGAAGTAATCAAAAGGAAAAATCACTCTTTTCATTTGATCAAGTAGATAAGGTGCCACAACAGCCAATATCTGCTTCATCCAACTTCATGAATAAGAGTATCACAAAGGAATCTGAGAAGCTGGAGTCAGTAGTTTTGCCAGTAGAAGAATCAAAAAGCAGTTTAATTGATCTTGGTGAAGATGGACTAAAGAAAGAAATACCAAAACCTACTTCCTCGAACATTTCTGAAGAGGAAATAAAATTCACATCTGTTAGCCTAACTGAAGTGAAAGATAACTTGGAAACCAGATCATATTCCTTGGCAGAAAATAAGGTCTTGGCAGAAAAAGAAGAAACTCTGGCCCCATTAGAACTTAGAGATAATAATGAAATACAAAAGGCACAAATTATACACGAATTTAGACCTATTAAATTAGAAGAATCAAAAGTTGCTGCTATGCTACAAGTCTGTCAAAATGAAGAGCACAAAGAAACATCCAAAATTATTGTTGGTTGTGAGGAGAAAGGAGAAGAAAGAGAAAGGTGGTCACATGTACTTGCAGAAGAAAAAAAGCAGCAGGAAATTCAGTCTTCTGTGAATGTAGTCCGGTCTATGCATGAAGAATCAGATATCTCTTCAGGTTGTTCTTTGGATGAGACTCAACCATTTTCATTAGTTAAAACAACAGCAATTATTGAAAAATCACAAACCATGCTCCCAGAGGCTCAACCAGAAATCAGGGAAACAAAGATAATAGAAACCCAGCCACCTCCGTTAGAAGAAAGGAAAATTGTGGTGGAAAAAACCAAGACTATCATTCCAGTGGATCTTCCTTCTCACGATGAAATAGATAACCACTCTTTACTTAAGGAAGACAATCTGGTATTGGAAAAGTCAAGTGAGGACATGGCAGGTCACACTGAAGAAAAAGGACAGTTCACATTGTCAGAGCTGTCAAAAGATAGTTCAACAGGTATCACAAAGGAAAGTACGAAGCAAGGATCTTCATTTAAAGAATCTGAAATGACTTTAGATAGTCCTTTAGAGGAAACAAAGAGCTTAGAAACACTGCCACATTTGTTGTCTTCTGTAAAACCACAGCCACTTGTTTCAGGAACTTCTTTAGAAATTAGTACAGCAAAGAAACAAGAAATGCCACAGTCAGAGTGGACTCCAGATAGGCATACAGTCCATACTATTCAACCATCTAAAGATCACACATTTGATATGCCTACACAATCTGTTTTTGTTTCAAAGCACCATTTGGAGGCTGAAAAAGATGTCCACACAAATGAACCATGCTCTTCAGAAAGCAGCAACTATACTCAATTTATAATGAATGCATCAACTATCAGTACTGATAAATCTGTTCATATGAAAGAAATATCCAAAGAGTCTGAAGACATAGATGCAAAAGATGAATTTACAGTGACTAGTAAGCCAGCTGGACTTTCAGAAGATCAAAAGAGTGCCTTCAGTATAATTTCTGAAGGTTGTGAGATATTGAATATTCATGCTCCTGCATTTATTTCTTCAGTTGATCAGGAGGAAAGTGAACACATGAAAGATAAATTAGAATATTTGGAAGAGAAAGCCTCATTGAAAACCATACCACTTCATGATGACACTGAGGCAGTTATTTGCCATAGAACATTAAAGAGTAAGTTAGAAGATTCTGATGAAGAAGTTACATTACTGAAAGAAAACAAACAAAAGGAAACTCCCGAAACAAAAGAAGAAATACCCACAGATTCAGAAAATAGTGATTTAGCTTTTGTTCAGCCCACAATTCCCAGTGAAGAGGATTATTTTGAAAAATATACTTTGATTGATTATAACATCTCCCCAGACCCAGAAAAACTGAAGTTTCCACAAAAATTACATGTTGAAGAGGAATTCTCAAAGGAAATTTCAGAAGAAATTATCTCTTTCCCAGAAAGTTCAGAGGAAAGTGCTCTAAAACATGAATATGATTTGGTAAAATTGGATGAAAGTTTTTATGGACCAGAAAAGGACCACAGCAAATTATCTAACTCAGAGATCCAACATTCTTTGGGTATCCAAAAACCAGCTGACAGAGATGCTCCAAAGGGCATAACTAGAGATGTGGACTCCAAGTCACCTGGGATGCCTTTATTTGATGCAGAGGAAGGAGTTTTGTCACGAACTCAGATATTTCCTACCACTGTTAAACTAATTAATCCAGAACATTTGGAGGAGACACCTGCACTTGCATTTTTATACAAGGATCTGTACGAAGAAGCAGTTGGAGAGAAAAAGAAAGAAGGGGAGACAGTTTCTGAAGATGACAGTGTGAATTCTGAGGCATCATTTCCAAGCAGAAATTCTGACACTGATGATGGAACAGGAATATATTTTGAGAAGTACATACTCAAAGATGACATTCTCCATGACACATCTGTAACTCAAAAGGACCAAGGCCAAGGTCTGGAAGAAAAACCAGTTGGTAAGGATGATTCATACCAACGGTTAGCTGCAGAAGGAGAAATTTGGGGGAGGTTTGAAACTATTCTGGGGGAGAGGAGTCTGGAAGAGGAGCAGAAAGCTGTTTGTAGGGAAGGAGAATCAGTAGGCCATGTGGAGACACTTGATAAGGTAGAGATGCAGAGGAAAACTCCCATCACTGAAGAAGTCAGTATGGTTACCCAGAAGATAAGTTATGCAGTTCCATTTGAAGACACCCATAATGTCCTGGAGAGAGTAGATGAAACTAGCGGTGAGGGTAATGAAGCAGGGAATGCAACTACAGAGGTGAATCTGAATGTCCCAGTACAAGTGTCCTTCCCAGAGGAAGAATTTGCATCTGGTGCAACTTGCGTTCAAGAAACACTGCAAGAAGAACCTAAGATGGTCCCACACGAGCCACATGAAGATAGGCTCCGTAACAGCCCCGTTCAAGATGACTATGAATTTGCTGAATCTCTGAATTATGATGTGGTCACTCAAGACATTCTATCAGAAGAACTGTGTTCAGACTCTACACTTGAAGATGCATTACCTCAAGGGGAGGAATCAATTGAACACATCAGTGAAAACAAATTTGTGAGGGAGGTGGAACAAAGTATGTCTGTTGAACAGAAAGAATTAGACAGAGAGAGGACAGAACAAGACCAATTATCAGAGTTAGCATCTGAGAAGGCACAGAAGGAACCGAAAAAGTCCCAGATTGACACATACTGTTACACTTGCAAAAGCCCAATTTCTGCTACTGACAAGATGTTTGGCACACACAAAGATCACGAAGTTTCAACGCTTGACACAGCTATAACTGCCATAAAGGTAAATATATTTTAAAGTATCTAAATAACAATATGTATAGATTAAATTTGTTTTCACATGTTGTCAACTCTTAAAATAACCAATGTTTAGGTTACCTAGTGCCGCTCTGACAGAAATGTAACACAAATGGGATGGCTTGAACAAACAGGAGTTTTTATTCTCTTACAGTTTTGGAGGCTAAAAGTCTGAGTTCAAAGTGCCAGGCTCTAGGGGCTAGGTGAAAGCCCCTTGACCTTGGGCTTTAGCTCCGCCTCTTGCTCCTAGCCCACTGAAGCTAGAGGCATCTCTTCACACAGGCAGCTACTGGCTGCTGAGGCAGACAAACCCAAGGTCGACAAGTGAAAAAGGCACAGTCTCAATGTTACCAAACAACATTGCAGGCCACTAATTCAAGTCTAGATGAAGTCTCAAGATCAGTAGGGCATGGCAGGCTATCGAACAATGACTTGGCTACATGCAGGGTTGAGGCATGCCAAAAGGCTGGAGACCTTCCTCAAAGTTGCTTCTTATATACTGGAAGCAGACCACATCCTAAAGCAGCTGCTCCAATAGATTCCACTATGGAGTTAATTACCAATCTCACTATGCGGAATAACTATATCCAGCTGCCCAGCCACTCAACCAGGCCCAACCAAGTTGACATAATGACACACAAACTTCACTACTACAACTGATATTTGATATATTCATTTTTAGGCAGAATAGTTAGTCTGCAACCAAACTAAGAATATTTCCTCAAGTGTTTAGTTAATACCAGTTTGACAAAAATTTATTGGATATATACTATATGTTAAGAATTTTTCTTGCTTCTGGGATACCAAGATAAATAACAAAGCCTTATTGCTCAGCATATCTCAAGACTGAAGAACTGAAGAAAAAATTCATATATGGAGTTGTAATACTGAAGTATTCCATGCACAAAAAATTCAATGATGTAGGAAGCATCAAAACAAGATAGAAGGAATATACAGAGTCAGTGTACCAAAAATAGCTGGTCAGCATCCAACCATTTCAGGAGGCAGCATAGATCAAGAATGAATGATACAGAAGGAAGAAGATCAGGTTGCAGTGGTGAAAAACAAGACTTGAGAAACTGACCAGATAATAATTGGAATGCTACAACATATAGATATAACTATGGAAGTGCTCTCTTGTCTATGGTAAGAAATTTGAAATACAATTACCTGATCAATTAACTGGAAGAGATCCTATTTTTGCCCATTCCAAAGAAAAATGATCCAACAGAATGGGGAATTTATCCAACAGTACCATATGCATGTAAAATTTTGCTAAAGATAATTCAGAAACAGTTGTAGGGTAAAATCATTTCCTGTCAAGACAGGAAACTGCCAGAAATTCACAGTGGATTCGGAAGAGGACATAGAATGAGGGATATCATTGTTGATGTCATATGTATCTTGGCTGAAAGCAGAGAATACCAGAAAGATGTTTACCCATGTTTTATTGACTATGCAAAGGCATTTGACTATGTGAGTCATAATAAAGTATGGATAACATTGTGGAGAATGGGAATTCCAGAACATTGAATTGTGCTCGTGAGGAATCTGTACATAGACCAAGAGAACAGAACAAGGGACACTGCATGGTGTAAAATCAGGAAGGGTGTGCATCAGGGTTGTATCATTTCACCATACTTATTCAATCTGTGTACTGAGCAAATCATCTGAGAAACTAGACTATATGAAGAAGATAGAGGCATCTGGCCTGGAGGAAGGCTCATTGACAACCTGCAATATGCACATGATACAACCTTGCTTGCTGAAAATGAAGAATACTTGAAGCACTTACTGATGATAATCAAAGACTATAGCCTTCAGTATGGATTAAACCTCAACATAAAGAAAACAAAAATCCTCACAACTGGACCCATAAACAACAACATGATAAACAGAGAAAAGTTTGAAGTTGTCAAAGATTTCATTTTGATTGGATCCACAATCAATGCCTGTGGAAGCAGTGGTCAAGAAGTCAAATGACCTATTACACAGGAAAGCTCAACAATAAATAAGGAAGACTGAAGATGCCTTGGAATTGTAGTGTTGGCAAAGAATACTGAAAATAACATAGACTGCTAGAAGAATGAATGAATCTGTCCTGGAGGAAGTACAGCTGGAATGCTTCTTTGAAGTGAGAAAGGCCAGACTTCATCTCACCTACTCTGGTCATGTTATCAGAAGGGACCATTCCCTGGAGAAGGATATCATGCTTGGTAAAGTGGAGGGTCAGCAAAAAAGAGGAAGACTCTCAAGGAGATGGATTGACACAGTGGCTGTAATGATGGGCCCAAGTATAGCAACCATTGTGAAGATGGCACAAGACCAGGCAGTGTTTCATTCTGTTGTTCATAGGGTTGCTCTGAGTCGTACTTGACTCAACAGCACCTAACAACAACATTGCACGGGGGACATCTGCTGCAAAAGACCTCTTGAAAGTGTTAAATAGAGAAGATGTCACTTTGAGGACTAATGGATGTGTCTTAGTCATCTAGTACTGCTGCAACAGAAATACCACAAGTGGGTGGTTTTAACAAGCAGAAATTTATTCTCTCACAGTTTAGGAAGCGGGAAGTCTGAGTTCAGAGTGCCAGCTCTAGAAGTCTTTTTCTTTGTGTCTCTTGGTCCTAAGAAGATGTCAGCTCAGGGTCCTTGGGTCCAAAGGATGTGCTCCACTCTAGGATCTTCTTTTTTGGTGGTTGTAGATTCCCATCTGTTTGCTTGCTTCTCTCTCCTTTTATCTCTTGTAAAATAAAAAGTGTTGTAGGCCACAGTCCAGGAGATCCCCCTTACATCAGATCAGGACTGTGATGAGTTTAAGGGCATTGCACCCACCCTACTCCTTTAATAACTGATTGGCTTATCACATCTGATAACATAATGGGAGATCATCACATAACTGTTTCTATAACTGCCACTTTACATCATTACATTATGCCAACCCACTGAGAATCATGGCCCAGTTGACACATACTTTTTGGGAGACAGTTCAACCCATGACATTCCACACTTTGACACCCCACCCCCATATTCATATCTTTGCCATGTGCAAAACACTTTCACCCCATTATATTATCCCAAAAGTCTTATGTCATCAACTCCAAGTATACATCCTGCGGTAAAATTTCTCTTCATCTGTGGATCTGGAATATAAGTTATCCTTTGAAACTGAGACAGCTCTGCTTCCCATTTTCCTTGTCTCATTAGCTTCTGCTTCCTGTTTCCTTGGTCTCTCACCCAGGCCAACTTGGGCTCTGCCCTGCTCTGGCAAGTGTTGCAAAGCTCTTTAGTTCTACCACTTCATGCTCAGAGGCACTTCACTCTACCAGAAAGCCTTGACCTGAAGACACCTAACTCTCTAGCTCTGTGGGTTGGCAAGTTTAATTCTGCCAGCAAGTGCCTGAAGGCATCCCACTCTGCCAGGAAGCCCCTGCTGAAGGCATTCAACTCTCTTGCGCTGTGAGTCTGGGCTGGGTCTAACTCCATCTTGGTTCTTCTGGTTCTGTTGCTGCCATTTCTCTACCACTGCTTCCCATTGTCTCTGCCATCTCTGGTGCTACAACTCTCCTCACTTCCTCCTGAGTCCTCACTAGAATTGCCTTTTATGTCCATAGTTCTACCAACAGTCTCTTCAAGGCAGTCTAGGCCTTTACTTACTATTAGACACCTTAAAACTCTTCCAGCCTCTGCTCAATTCCAAAACCCTTCTACATTTTAGGTACCTGTTAGAGCAGGATTTGACTCCCAGTACAGTCTGTTTTAGTTATCTAGTGCTGCTGAAGAAGAAATACTAAAAGTTGATGGCTTTAACAAACAAATTTATTCTCTTTGTTTAGGAAGCTAGCAGTCTGAGTTCAGAGCACTGACTCTAGGGGAAGGCTTTCTTTCTCTGAGTCTCTTGGTCCTAGGAGGATACCAGGATGGATACCCTGGGTCCAAAGGACATATTCTGCTCCTGGCTCTTCTTTCTTGGTGGTAGTAGGTCTCTCTCCTTACTTCTCTCTCCTTTCATCTCTTATAAGATAAAAGGTATTGCAGGCCACACCCCAAGTAACTTTGCTTACATAAGATCAAGGCTGTGATGGGATTAAGGGTATTGTATCCAACCCTAATTATTTTCTGACTGATTGTCTTATCACATCAGCTCACATCATGGGGAATCATTACATAATTGCCACATTACATCATTGTATAACTGCCAAGCCACTGAGAATCATGGCCCCATCCATCTGACACCTATTCTTTTTGGACACAACGCAATCCATGATGGCTTAGCCTGAGCTAAGCTATGTTATTTTCAATTGTCCCATATGCATGTGAAACAGGGCAATGAATAAGGAATGCCAAAGAAGAATTCATGCCTTTGAATTACAGAGTTGGTGAAGAATATTGAATATACTATGGACTGTAAAAAGAACATACAAATCAGTCTGGGAAGAAAAACAGCCAGAATGTTCCTTAGAAGTGAGGATAGTGAGACTTTGTCTCACTTCTTTGGACATGTTATCAGGAGGGACCAATCCCTGGAGAAGGATTGATAAAGTAGAGGGTCAGCAAAAAAGGGCAAGACCCTCAACAAGATGGATTGACACAATGGCTGCAGCAATGGGCTTAAGCATCACAAAGAATATGCGGGTGGCACAGGAGTGGGCAGTGTTTCATTCTGTTGTACATAGGGTTGGTATGAGTCAGAGCCAACTTGACGGCACCTAACAACAATAACAATAGTCATGAAGGACCAGTCCCTGGAGGACAGCACAGTTGGTAAAGTAAATGGTCAGTGTAAAAGGAGGAAGACTGCCAATGAGATAGATTGACACGGTGGTTCCAACAGTGGGCTCACACAAAGTGATGATTGCGAAGATGGTGCAGGACTGCACAACAATTTTTGTTGTTGTTGTCCATAGGGTCACTATGACTCAGAACCAATTTGATGTCACCTTACAACAACATTTTCTTTGAGAAGCTTATTCTCTTATGGAAAGAAGTCCTTAACATAATCAGAAATGCCAAAGGATTTTATACTAAAAATATATACTTTAGAGCATAAAACACAATTTATTTTCCTTTATCTACACTATCATCCTTTAAAAAGTATATACTTATCCTGGAGTGAAAAAGAAAGAAGGAGAGTCAGGAATAGGAGAAGAATATGGAAAGTGTGGCTAATGGTCTCCATGGACAACTGCTTCCTTTGCCATGAGACCAGAACTGGATGGTGCCTGGGTACCATTACTGAATATTTTGATCCAAGATTCTATAGAAGAATCCTGATCAGTAGGGGGAAAATATGGAGCACAATTTAAATTTCTCATGGACTCTAGATTTTCTGGAGCTATGGAGGGTGGAAGAAAGAACCCCTGAAACAATTGCCCTGATAATCTTTAAACTGCAAACCAAAAATATCTCCTGAAATCTTAAATTTTAAAACCAAATAATAGTTACCTTAACTAGTAAAGAATGTCTGCCTTGTGCACCATGCTCTTTCAAGATCTGTCTGTATGGCATTACGTTGACACCAGCAACTCGAAAGATTAGACAGGAAATTTTGGAGGCAGTGAGTTTATGTTAATGGAGGAGAACCAACTTAGAAAAACAAAAAAGGAGGATGAAAATTGTTGCCCAACTCAAAAATGTAATCAATGTTACATGTTGAATTGGCATGTGTTTTGCTATGTATATTCTCAACAACAAAATAAAATTTAAAAATACGTATTTATATTACATTAGCAATTTTAGTGCAAGTTTTATGTAAGTATTCAAGGGAGTAAGACACATTTCCTTTTTATTTATGAAATTTATGTTAGAAATTAAAAACCTATGCATCCTTCTAACTATGTTTATAGGACCCCAGTGTTCCAGAGGAAAGCTAATTACAACAGATATCCATGTGTATATGATTAGAAATATTCTATTTCCTCAGAGATGCTATCAGAAATCAAGCATTTACTGTCTGAGACTCCCATTTAACTTTCTAGCCTTCTAACTGGTTTCCTCACCATTGTCTCTCTCTATTCTCTGTACAGCAACTGGAATGATCTTAAAATGCAAATAATAACAAAAATCGAGCATTTACTGTGTACCAGGCCTGTGCTAAGTCTTTTATGCACAGGATATCTTTTTATTATTATTATTACTTTTTTTTTATTGTGATTTGGGTGAAGATTTACAGAGCAAATTTACTTTCCATACAGCCGTTCACATATACTTTGTCTCATGACATTGACCACAGTTTACCACAATACAACAGCCCCCCCCCCACTTCCTCCCCATAGTTACCTCTTCCCAGTGTCCATCCCTCCTTACACTCCTGCCCCCTGAGCTGTCTCCCTGTATGCACAGGATATCTTTTAATGCTCACAACAACCCCGTGATTGTCACCAATTTGTAAATAATGAAATGGGCTCAGAGAATTTACAGGATTTACCCAAGCGTACCTGCGATTTGTGCCCAGGGCTCTCTGACACCAGAGCCCATGTTCTTGACTGTATATCCATAGTGCTAGCTTTGTTTTTAGGTGCTGTTGAGCTGATTCCGACTCATAGTGACCCCATTTGACAGAGCAGAACTGTCCCACAGGGTTTTCTTTGTTGTAATCTTAATGGGAGCAGAATTCTATATCTTTCTCCCAGGGCTACTGGGTGGGTTTGAACCTCCATCCTTTTAGTTAGCAGTTCAGTTCTTAACCATTTGTGCCACAAGAGCTCCTCATGTTCAGTTTAGTGCTTTGCTAATGGTAGCAATTTTCAAAATGATTAGGTCACTGTTAAATAATTGTCAGGCTCACATTGACTCAATGGGAATCAAGACTCAATTAGAATCTTGACTTTTTTTTCCCCTCGTACCACATGAATCCTTCTCAACTTGTCTAATATTGGATCTATTTCTCTAGGGTGAGATTTTGCTGAAATTCTGCCTGGTCACTCTTTGAGGTAGACTGCATTCTGTAGTGACAGTTGACTTCATTAACTAATAACTACTAGGCAATGTTAGCAAGAAGGAGACTGGACTTTTTATTTTATTTATTTAGCATTTTAAACAGTATTTTGTTTATCTTTTTGAAATTTTGAAATTAAGTAATAATTTTATGTGAAAATAGTTGTTAATTTAAAACAAATTTCAAAAGCGGGAGATATGATGCCTCATACCTTAAAACCATTTTTTCCCCCCTGATCTTCCCTACACAGTAAGAGAAGGAGAAAGTGAAAACTTGTTTGCTTCATTTCATTAAGTCAACTGTGAGCTGGTTGGCCACTTTTTTAAAGTGAAAACCAGTTTTTAAAAGTTGTAACTTGAAAATTCTCTAGAGTCTTGTGGGTAGGCCGTTTGCAATTATTCAGGAAACGACTGCTTCATTTACATATTACTTGGGTCCTTGCTTCCCTTCCCCATATCACCTCCACAGGAGAAACGACCTTGTGATCTGCTCCTATAAAGGTTCAAAAACCTGGTGCCATTGAGTTGACTCTGATGCATGTGACCCTATAGGGCAGGATAGAATTGCCCTATAGTGTTTCTAAGGCTGTAGTCTTTACAGAAACAGACTGCCACATCTTTCTCCCACAAAGTTGCTGGTGAGTTTGAACGACCAAATTTAGGTTATCTGCTGACCATTTAACTACTGCACCACCAGGGCAAATGCCCATAAAGATTCCAACAAAAACCAAACACTGCCATAGAGTTGATTCAACTCATAACAACACCCATTGGGTTTCCAAGGCTGTAAATCTTTATGGAAGCAGACTGCTTCATCTTTCTTCTGAGGATTGGCTGTTGGCTTTGAACCACTGACCTTCTGGTTAACAGCCAGATGCCTTAACCACTATACCACTAGAGCTTTTCCTATAAAGACCTAGGAAATCCTAAATGGCAGTTCTATCAGTGCTAGGGTTGCTATGAGTAGTAATGAAATTGATAGCACACAACAACAACAACATTCTGCTTGAGGAACTATGCTAATTGTGGAATTCGAATGAATAAATAAATACATAAATAAATAAATTTGCAGTGCCTAAGGCATTTGACTGCTAACCAGAAGGTTGGCGGTTCAAACCTACCAGCTTCTCTGCAGAAGAAAGACTGGGCAATCTACTACCATAAAGATTTACTGCCTCAGAAACCCAAAGGGGTCGCTATGAGTTGGAATCAACTCAATGGCAGTGAGTTTGGTTTGGTTTTGGTTTTGGTAGACCCCAAATTCAAGTGCAAGGTTGTGAGACCATGGTATTCTAAGAAACTAACGTTTTGTGGGTGTGAGTGAAATGTGTGGAGTGGGAGTGGGAGAGTTAGAGAAGCCTTCTTTAAAAGATGAAACTCAGGTGAGCTTTTAATGAGAGAGTTCTTTTGACAGTCAAGGGCAGGGAGGGCATTCTGGAAATAAGGGATGCCGTATGAAAATTCACACAAGAGTGAAAGAGTTCAAGGAAAGAACCTGTGTGATTGGAGCCTGGGGTGACTGGAGATAGAGGCTATAAAGTGAAGCAAGGGCCAGATCCTAAAGGGGCTTCCATCCACCTGCTATCTTCATCATTCTGTGGATAATCAATCATCTGAAGCCCTGTTATTCAGGTTTTATTACCTACTAAGTTTAGCAAGATAGACTAAAGGAAGGTTTATAACTATGGCTAAAGGACAGTCCTCCTCTCTTATCTCATACATTTTTTTAGTGGCTGTCACTGCTTGAGTATTTTAACACTGTGAGAATTGCTAGAACTTTGAGCTGCCTTTAGCGGATTGTTTCATCATCTGGTATGCTAGGCCCAGTGGTGCTCTAATCACTGTCTGAGAGTCAGGTCCCCCAGGCACACCTGAAGTTGGGAGATTGTTGGTGAAAATGTACAGAAACTACTTAGGTATGGTGGGCCAGTTTGTATTAAAAATCCAATCATAATTAAGGAGAAAGACGTCAAACCTATAGTTCGTTAAAATAAAGTGTGCTTTGAGCTCACCAGCTTGCCAAGTTCTTTCTCTTGCATGCGATGATAAACTATCTTTGTAAAGTTGCTTTGTGGTTCTCATTCATAAACCTCCAATTGCTTACCATATAAAATCATCTACAATCAGTTTGCATGAAACCACAAAGAAAATGTAAAAATTGGTTTGTTAGTGAATATGGTATTGTAATTCTCCACCAAATATACTGAACTTATAAGGAAATTGGAGCTCACGGTTTATAGTTTGTTTCCCAAATGTTATATACTTAAGATGTCTTAATTTTTTTTTTCTTTAGGTTCAATTAGCAGACTTTCTAGAAAATTTACAAGAAAAGTCTTTAAGGATTGAAGCCTTTGTTAGTGAGATAGAATCCTTTTTTAATACCATTGAGGTAAGTTACCATATCTTTTGCTTACCTCGTTTGTTCTTGGTATCACAAGTAAATGATTCTGAGCTAACAGGATCTGAATTGGTGTTTGTGCATTCATGTGCATGTCTGCCATTTTTGGTTTTGTTCCATTACAAATAAGAGCCCTTAAAGCTTTCCTCTGAAAAGAATATTGGCAATGGTTGCACAACATGACAAACGTAATCATTGTCACTGAATTATACAGGTAAAAATTGTTGAGTTGGCAAATGTTTGTTATATATGTTTTTATCAGAATTGAAAAACAAAAAAATCTTACCCCTGATTGTAATGGTGAGACTGCTTTCTGTCTAAGGATTAAAGATATGCCCTTAAACACACACACACGTTTATTAGGCACTTACTACCTTGGCACAAATGCTTTATAAGCTTGACCCAATTTAATCTTTATAATACTCATACAAGATAGATGTTATTGTTATCATTCTCATTTTGTTGTTGTTGTTGTTGTTGTTTGCCGTCGAGTCAGCCCTGACTCATAGCAACCCCTCCTTGGGTTTCCAAGGCATTATCACTACGGAAGTAGGATTGCCCAACCTTCCTTCCGAGGAGTGGCTGGTGGGTTTGAACCGCCAGCCTTCTGGTGAGCAGTTATAGATAAGAGTTAAGTATATTACCCAGGGTCATAGTAAATTGATAGTAAGTGGAAATCTAAGATTTAACTCCAGTTCTGAGTTCTTACTTGTTCCACTAACTTCCTCTCACTGGGTTAGCTCTGCAGAAATGCTCAAGTCGCTGCCCGGTGACCCATACACAGAACAAAAGAGTATCTCTCATGGTGCAACTGTCTCTTATGAGTTCACTCTTTCCTGGCTGCTGGCTCCTGCCTCCTCCACAGTGAGGAGAGATGGTAATGGTGCATCCACATACAGAGATGGCCTAGGTATCCTCACCTGTCAGTTAGGGATAGCAGAGGGCCCAAGACCACTGCAGAAGCTGGTGCACAGTTCCCCTATAAATAGGGTGACTTCACATCCTGGTTTGCTTATGAGAGGTCTGGATTACTCCTATTGTTGATAAATTAATACCCGTCAATTATTTGTAGAAATCCCCCTCTCCAAAATATCCCTTTAAACAATAAACTATATGATCACCTTATCACTAGCCCTACTAGTGAGAGTAGCCAGGCATCTTGATATGTCTAGATGGGCAATACAGTTTCTCTTACTATGGTAAAGCTTCCCCTTCATTGGAGAACGGTTGTGAATGGGGCACCCTGTTCAATATCCTAGCTGCTCCTTTGTACACACTATGACTTTAGTGGAGCTTTGCATACTAAACCCTTTCCACTACTTTAAGGTCACGGATTCTCACTCACTATGATTCTATTTTCAATATTTCCATGCAAATATCCGTCTTAGATGGGGTTCTCTAGAGAAGCAAAACCAATGAAGTGTGTATATATGGAGAGAGAGAGAGAGAGAGAGAGAGAAATTTATCTCAAGGAAATAGCTCACACAGTTGTAGAGGCTGGCAAGTCCCAAGATTGGCAGGCAATACAGCAGGCTTCTGTCTGCAGAGGCTGACAAATCCAAGATCAGTAAGTAAGATGGCAGGCTGTTGGCTCACTGACTATGAAGGTAACAATGCCAAGATCGGCAGGCAATACAGCAGGCCACTCATTCAACTCCAAGAACAAGAGGTCAGGTGATGGTGAGCCAGATGCAGAATTCAGATCAAGCAAAAAGCCAGAGACCTTTGCCAGGACATCCCTGTATGTGGCAGCAGCCACATCGCTGAGGAGGCACCCTTTCAACTGATTGGCTGTTCATAGCAGATCTCATCATGGAGGTGATTATATTACATCAGATCTCATTGTGGGTGATGATTGCATCATAACTGCTAAACCAATGAGAGTCATGACCCTGCCAAGTTGACACAACCTTAACTATCACTATATATACATACATATATAAATATGTTGTAGTTGTTGTTATTTGCTGTCAAGTCGGCCCTAACTCATTGTGACCCCTGCTTAGGTTTCCAAGGCAGTATCACTACGGAAGTAGGATTGCCCAAACTTCCTTCCGAGGAGTGGCTGGTGGGTTTGAACCACCAGCCTTCTGGTTAGCAGTTGAGTGCCTTAAGCACTATGCTACCAGAGCTCCTTATATAAATATATAAAAATATAATATATATAAATATATATTTAAATTTAGTAACTACCTC